AACAACTTTTAAAACTGACCCAAATGTTAAAAACAGATTCTTAAATCGTGGTAGAGCAACTGAAAGTTCATGCTTGGAAGAAGGGAATGTCACTGGGTGAGTTTCCCATTTTTCACAGCTCCTTGCCTGAAGGCAGGTCCCACTTGGTGCCATAAAAAGTCTTACTGTTTTTGAAAAGCCAAAAAACAGAGATTGGTGCAAACACAGAAGTTAGAAAGTAAGAGGAAAAATCCCAAAAAGGAGAGAGACAGAAAAGGGGAGCTATAATTCTGTACATAAATTCTGCCCAAATATCTGATTGACCTTCGAACTGTGTGACGTGCAGGTGTGGGGAAAGCGCCTACCAGTCTGTCTAAGGCTAAACAGTCTAATAGATATCAACTGCCTACTGCATAGGAGACCAAAGTTGAGTCTGTCTTCCAAACTAACTGCTTACTACAGCAAATAAACAAACAAACAAAACAAAACAAAACAAAACAAAACAATAGTTTTCAGAGGAACATGACAGAATCCAAAATCTCTGTAACATATTTTTGGCAGTATCCAGACTATAATCCAAAATCACTAGACATACAAAATATAGGAAAATGTGACCTATACCAAATACAAAACAATCAATAAAGGCCAACCTTGACATGACCCACCTAGTGAAATTAGCAAAGATTTTAAAGTAAAGCAGACAAAGGTATTATAATGATGCTCAAAGACAGAAGAAAATAGTCTCATAATAAATGACCAAATAGAAAATCTCAGCAGAGAATATATACTATAAAAAGGAAACAAATGGAAATTCTAGAATTGAAAAATACAATAACTGAAATTTAAATACAAAATTCACTAGACGTGCCTAAAATCAGACTGGCGATAACAGAAGAGTCAGGGAACAATAAGATAGGTTAATAAAATTATTCAATCTGAAGAATAAAGAAGAGGAAAAGAAGTTTTTTATAAAAACAAATGGAGCCTCAGGGATCTATGGAGACAATATCTGAAGGTCTAATATAAATAAGATTGGACTCACAGAAGGAGAGAAGAGAATGAGAAAAAAAGAAAACCTGAAGAAATATGGGCTGGGAGCAGTGGTTCATGTCTATTAAGCTCAACACTTTGGGAGGCCAAGGCAGTAGGATATCACTTGAGCCCAGGAGATCCAGACGAGCCTGGGCAACATACGGAGAACCCCATTGTTACAAAAAATAAAATAATTAGCTGTGGCCAGGTGCAGTGGCTCATGCCTATAATCCCAGCACTTTGGGAGGCCAAAGCGGGAGGATTGCTTGAGCCCAGGAGTTCCAGACCAACCTGGACAACATAGCAAGACCCTGTCTCTAGAAAAAAATTAAAAATTAGCTGGCTGCTCTGTCACATGCCTGTAGTCCAAACTACCCAAGACGCTGAAGTGGGAGGATCACTTGAACCCAGAAGGTCAAGGCTGCAGTGAGCCATGATCACGCCACTGCACTCCAGCCTGAGTGGCAGAATGAGGCCCTGTCTCTAAAAAAACAAAAAGAAAAAAAAATGGCTGACATTTTTCCAAATTGTAGCTTAAAAATATACACATTTACAGATTCAAGAAGCTGAATATACTATAAGCAAGATAAATATAATGCAAACCCCATCTAGGCATGTTATAATTTAACTGGTGAAAACCAATGGTAATTTAAAATCAGCAAGAGAAAGAGAACCTATTCACATAGGGGAATGATGTTAAAAAAAATCATGGCTATTTACTTATCAGAAACAATGTAAGCTAGAAGACAATTAAACAACACTTTTAAAGTAGTTAGAGCTGGGTGCAGTGGCTCTCGCACATGTCATTCCAGCACTTTGGGAGGCCGAGAAAGCGGATTGTTTAAGCCCAGGAGTTCCAGACTAGCCTGGGCAACATAGCAAGATGCCATCTCTATTAAAATAAAATGTTATTACTTTTGAAATATTACAATTAATATTTAAAATAAAAATATAGTAAGAAAAAATTGTCAACCAAGAATCCAGCAAAAATATCCTTCAAGAATGAAAGCAAAATAAAGACATTTTCAGATAAAAGAAATCTGAGAGAATTTGTCACTAGCAGATCTACATTACTAAACCTATGACAGAAAAAAGACAAGAAGTTTTATAAAATGACAGGAAGCCCATACCAGATGGAAATGCAGATCTCAGAAAAGAGGAAAGAGTTCCAGAAATGGTAAATATGTGGGTAAATATAAAAGATTATTTTAAATACCTTAAAAATATATATGACTATGTAAAGCAAAAATTATTCCAAGATTCTTCCAAGATTCTTACATTTCATGTGAAATAATATAATATTAATTCTAAGTAGACTGTGAAAAGTTAAGAATATGTATATTGTAACTCCTAGGACAACCATGAAAAAGTAATGTAAAGAAGAATAACTGAAAAGCCACTAAAGTGAAATTCAAAAAAAAAAATTTAATTAACCCAAAAAGAAGCAGAAAAAGAAGAACAGAAGGGGGGGGGGAAACAGAAAATAAAATCATAGACCTAAATTCAACCATATCAATTATTAGATTAAATTTAATGGAGGCCGGGCACAGTGGCTCACACCTGTAATCCCAACACTTTGGGAGGCCAAGGTGGGTGGATCACCTGAGGTCAGGAACTCAAGACCAACCTGACCAATACGGTGAAACCCCATCTCTACTAAAATACAAAAATTAGCCAGGTGTGGTGGCGGGCACCTGTAGTGCCAGCTACTCGGGAGGCTGAGACAGGAGAATTCCTTAAACCCAGGAGGCAGAGGTTGCAGTGAGCCAAGATCATGCCACTGTACTCCAGCCTGGGTGACAGAGCGGGACTCCATCTCAAAAAAAAAAAAAAAAGTTAGTGGACTACAATACCAGTTTAAAGGCAGAGGTTATCAGAATGGATTTATACCAAAAAATAATAATAGAAAAGAACGACTATATGCTGTCTATAAGAGACATACCTTAAATATAAATATACAGATAGATTTAAAGTAAAAATATAGGAAAAAAAAGGATATACTGATATCACACTAAGAAATATTACCAGAGGTAAAGAAGAGCATATCATAATGATAAAAGACTCCATTACTTGGGAAATCATAACAAAATTTGAATACACTTAAATGTCAAAATGTGAATACACTTAGAGCCTCAAAATACATTAAGGAAAATTTGACATAAAGAGAGAAACAGGCCAGGTATGGTGAATCACGCCTGTAATTCCAACACTTTGAGAAGCCAAGATGCGTGGATCACGAGGTCAGGAGTTCGAGACCAGCCTGGCCAACATGGTGAAACTCCTGTCTCCATTGAAAATACAAAAATTAGCCAGGTGTGGTGGCAGGCGTCTGTAATCCCAGTTACTCAGGAGGCTGAGGCAGGAGAATTGCTTGAACTCAGGAGGCAGAGGTTGCAGTGAGCCAAGACTGCGCCACTGCACTCCAGCCTGGGCGACAACAGTGAAACTCCATCTCGGGAAAAAAAAAAAAAGAGAGAGAGAGACAGAGAGAAACAGACACGCCCGCACTCATAGTGGCATTTTGATATACTACTCTCAATATTAAAACAACTGTACAAAAAAAAAAGACAAAGATGATCTGAACAATACCATGAAACATTCTGACCTAATTGATATTTATAAAACACTTCCCCAATAACTGCAGAACACATATCCTTTCATGCTTCAAGGTACTTTGAGACCCTCACGTTCTTGCTGAAGGATAATAAAGGCCCACCCTCTTTCCCAGGATTTGATATATCCCACTGCTTTTATGCATAGCAGTAAGTCATTCAGTGATTCAGAGAAGGATGGAGGGGGAACTGATAAAAAGGACACTGCCAAGCTTTATGACAAGAAATGATTCAATAAATATAAAGCCTTCGAACAGTATCTGGCACTTAGCTCTGTCATTATGACCAGCCAGAAGTATGGCAGAGAAGGGAGATCTGGCATAAGGATAACAGAGTGGAGGGGTGTCCTGAAGACTGATTTATAGTGAGGATTATTCCTCCTGTGTAGGGCGAGAAAGCAGGGCCTCAGAGATGTCACGAGGATGACTCCTTTCAGAAACAGTGACTCCAGACTGATAAGGAGCTATGGGCATGTATAACTTGCAGACAGTTCTGGCTTTAGTTGCTTTCCAGAAGCTGACACTGGCTCCCTCCTCCCAGGAGAGAACTGTGAGAATTCCCTAGGGTGACAGGGATGGGGCTTTTTGATTTCGTTTTTGTTGTTTTTGTTTTGTTTTGCTTTGTTGCACTACTTTGTGTGGTTAAGGTCTGGGGGTTGGGGTGAAACATCTGCAGAAGCAGCCAGAGAACATGGGGGAGCTGTTGGAAGCCTCCTTTTGGGTTTCCCCCACCATTGTATGAGTGCATGGGTCCTATACCCACTGGAGAGACCCAGACCTGTGGTCCAGGGCCCTCAGGAGTAAGATAAGAATTCTGGCCTCTTGAGGATCTGAGAATACAGGTAGGGTCTCCTAACCTCAGGCACTCATTATGAAGGTCCAGATTCACCCCACCCTATCCCAGCAAAATCAAAGCACAGTCCATGCCTCCCATGTACATCTTCACTCTGAGAACAATGAGGCTTTTGGCATGTGAATAAGTTGGGTTGGAACATGTTATTGGGTGTAGTTGCTGTTACAATTGTGGGAAGAGGCCAAGAATGCTCAGCAGGCCAGTCTGGGAGGGGAAGACCATGAGTGACTCCTGCAATGCTGAGCATCCTGGGCTGGGCAACACATCTTCTCTCTTTGCCATCCCAGGCCCTGGGAGAGAGCAGAGGTGGCCTGCCTCAGGAAGGTTACCACGCCCTGGAGAAGGGAGATTTCTTCCAGTATCTCTAGTTAGAAATGAAGTCTTTTGTAAGTATTCCTCTCCCCTCTCTGTGCAGATGCCTATAATCTCATGATGGAAACATGGAAACATGTGTCCATGCCCAGCTAAGGTCCAAGCTACATCTGGTCAGTGTTATGCTGAAAGGAATAAAGACTACTCTATTACCAAGGTGTCTGGGAGGACCACCACGGGGCAACAGGAGTACTGGAGCAGCCGGCCCATTTTCCAGACGAACAGTGGCACGACCACAAGGATCAGCATGAAGCCAACAAAGGCAAACAGAGCCAGTACCAGCGGAATGGCCTCTCCTGAAAACAAAAGATAAAAACAGGCTTAGAAAAGAGCAGTGAAGATTAAATCTTCAATCCTGAGCCTCCCCCAGTTTCCTAGAGTTGACCCTGCACATTGGCTAAGACGGCAGATACCATCATCCTGAGATTTGATGTGTGCCTTAGTGACAAAAATTACCACCATTAAAAGCATTTTTCTAGAATCCAGATTAAGGCATGGTTTCCAGAAAGCCCCAGGGAAGATTAAAATCTTTTTCTTGTGACACAAAAGGGAGGAGTATCATGTGTTAAGCCAATTGCTGTGTTAGCACGTACCTTGGCACCACTGCCAGGAGGAAGGCAGAGTGCCAAGCCCTGGGCAGGATGAGGGGGAGGTATTGAAAGAAACAGCACAGAATGGGGCTGGGCGGTAACTGAAAACAAAGTATGTTTCACAATTCACTCTTGGCATTGATTCATGTTATGGAGGAAATGGTTCAGAAAACAGTCAGAAAATAACTACAATATATCAAGCCCCTATTTTGTGTGCTAGGGCTACTGTTGCTTTCCAGAACTATGCTAGGGGCTGGATGTGTAGTTGCTTGTTCTTCGCAATGAGTGTGAGTACCCCTGATTTTATAGAAGAGGAATCTATGCTCAGAATAGTTAAGTGGCCTACTCCAGGTTACCCAGATAGGACTGGCTCCAAAGCTCACAGTCATTCTACCAAATAATTATAGCAGAAAAGGCCAGATTTGAGCATCTGGAGATGCGGAAGAGGGTACAGGTTATTTTCCCATCTCTCTTGAGCAACACAATTAGCCTCTTTGGGCCAGGCTACTCACCTGCAATGTGAAGGGTAGCCCAGTCAATGAGACTGGAGAAGCTGGTGGACTTGTGGCTGGGGGCATTGTACATTGTTTCAATGATTTTGGAAAATATTCTGGTGGTACGCATCAAGAGATACACAAATGTTCATACCCTTTCATCCACTCCTGCAATTTTTAATTTTTAATTTTTGTAGTATATAGTGAGTGTATATGGGGTACATGAGATGTTTTGATACAGGCATGCAATGTGAAATAAGCACATCATGGAGAATAGGTAGCCATCCTCTCAAATATTTCTCATTTGTGTTACAAACAATACAATTACACTCTTTAACTTCTGTTAAAATATACAATTCGATTATTGTTGACTATTGTCACCCTATTGTGCTATCAAATAGTAGGTCTTATTCATTCTTTCTGTTTTCTTTGTGCCCATATCCTCACTTCTCCCCAACTCCTGAAATTTTAATTCCAAAAACTAATCCCAAGGAGGAAACAACTATATACACAAGTCGGTTCTTAGCAACATCTGAGCTAGAGCAACAGCCTTTCATTTACATATATTGACATATACATATGCTTTTTTTAAAGACAGTCTTGCTCTGTCACCCAGGCTAGAGTGTAGTGTGCAATCTTGGCTCACTGCAACCTTTGACTCCTGGGTTCAAGCGATTTTCATGCCTCAGCCTTCCCAGTAGCTGGGATTACAGGCATGCGCCACCATGCCTGGCTAATTTTTGTAGTTTTAGTAGAGATGGGGTTTCACCACACTGGTCAGGCTGGTCTCAAATTTCTGACCTCAGTTGATCCACCTGCCTCAGCCTCCCAAAGTGCTAGGATTACAGGCATGAGCCACCACACCCAGACCTTTAAAAATGAGGTAGAACCACCATTCTGAGCAAACTATCGCAAGGACAGAAAACCAAACACCGCATGTTCTCACTCATAGGTGGGAACTGAACAATGAGAACACTTGGACACAGGATGGGGAACATCACATACCGGGGTCTGCCGTGGGGTGGGTGGATGGGGGAGGGATAGCATTAGGAGATATACCTAATGTAAATGACGAGTTAATGGGTGCAGCAAACCAACATGGCACATGTATACATATGTAACAAACCTGCACATTGTGCACATGTACCCTAGGCTTAAAGTATAATTTTAAAAAATGAAGTAGATCCATATGTATTGACATGAAAAGATGTTCACAATATACTACTGAGTGAAGACAAACCAAGTACAGAGTAGTAGGTACAATATCATCCCATCTATGTGTGTGAGCATTGGTACCACACAGACAACGCCTGGAAGATTAAACGCCAAACTCACTGACGGAAACCTCCTGAGTAATATGCCGAAGAATGGGGCACACTCATCTCTTCATTTATTTCTTTATTAAAATGAGACGAGGTCTCGTTATATTGCCCAGGCTGGTGTTCAACTCCTGGGCTCAAGCAATCCTTCTGCCTCAGCCTCCCAAAGTGCTGGGATTACAGCTGTGAGCCACCATGCCTGGTCCTACCCCTTACTTTATACGCTTTGGTGTTGTTTGGATTGTTAAGCAAGCTTGACTTGTATGATTTTATAAAGTAGTATAAAATAGTAATCAGGAAATCTGCATGAAAAATGTTATGCATATGATATTCATGAAAAAGCAGGCATAAAATGTATATGTTATAGGACTACAGCATGTGCCTACACATGGCAATGACTGAAGGATGATGCCCTAAATGAGCCGGGTGTGGTGGCTCACACCTGGAATCTCAGCTCTTTGGGAGGCCAAGGCCCAGGCAACAGAGCAAGACCTTGTCTCTACATATGAAATAAAATAAATTTTTTTAGAAAGAAAAATAAATAAATACATGTACTACAAAATTAAGGTAATAATTAGTCTTTTAAAAAAGATAATAGTTTTTTTTTTTAAAAAAAGACTAAAAGGCTATACACAAAAATGTAACTAGTGACGTTTGAGTGACAGATCATGGGATGTAGGCTTTTATTTGGTTTTGCTTCTTTTCAAAGGGCTTTTAAACATTGTAGGTTTTCTGACCTTAAAATATTCAAGGGAAAAGAGTAATTCAAACGAGGATTCTCTAGACTTTCCATAAGGTCCCTTCCAGATGAAGAAGGCTGTGGCGTTGTACAATGTAGTGCCTCCTTCCAAGGTCTGACCCTCTGACGCCTGTGACTGCCTCTCCTGCAGCCCGCTCTGATTCTCAGGCAGTAACTCTCTGGTAAACCAGTCTTGCAACACCTGGTGCCCAGGCCTAGGAAGCTTTAAGGGGGAAAGTGTTTCAGACAGCTGCTCGTAACCCCACCCAGCCTCAGGGTGGACTCCCACCTCTAGGGAATCAGAGTGACAAACATACTTTCACCATGGGAAACCATCCGGTCCGTGAGGGAGGTCAGCGAAATCAAGGGAAAACTCAGAACCAAAGGAACCCAGCAGGCCTCTGAGATATGACCAGGAGGGGCTATCACCTGTGCAGGGCTCCAGGGACAGAGAAGCCAGCCTTACCTTGCACCTCCACACATTCTGTCTGGCTGAAGGTGCTGTACCTCCCAATGGCCTTCACGAATGTCTGGGCCTTCACACAGTATGCAGCCCCTGGTTCCATGGTTTCTAGGTGCACTGGAATACCCCCGCTCCTCACCATTTTGACATGTTCCTTTGAGAGACCAGAAAACACAGTTATTGGTCAAGTGTGGTGGCTCACGCCTGTAATCCCAGCACTTTGGGAGGCTGAGGTGGGCGGATCACCTGAGGTCAGGAGGTCAAGACCAGCCTGTCCAACATGGTGAAACCCCGTCTCTACTACAAATACAAAATTAGCCAGGCATGGTGGCAGGTGCCTGTAATCCCAGCTACTCAGGAGGCTGAGACAGGAGAATTGCTTGAACCCAGGAGGCAGAAGTTGCCATGAGCCAAGATCACGCCGCGGCATTCCAGCTTGGGTGACAGAGTGAGACTCTATCTCAAAAAAAGGAAAAAGAAAAGTTATTCCCAGAAGGCAGCAGGACTGGAAAGGGCAAAAAGTGCCAAAGAAGGAAAGTTGCAGATACTTCCTTTCCGGATGCACACAGAATGTTCCCTCTCACTTATGCATACATTCATTCAACCATATTTATTAAGTATCTACTATGTACTAGGCGCTGCTCTAAGCACAGGGACCTAGCATTGAACAAAATGGACAAAGTTATTGCTCTCATAGAGCTTACATGGGGTGAGACAGACGATGAAAAAGTACACATCAGGTGGTGATAAGGACCATGAAGGAAAAAGCAGAGCAAAGGGATGGTAACGAGGAGGCACCATTTTAAACAGAGTGGTTAGAGAAGGCTTCTCTGATAGGGTAACATTTGTGCAGAGACCCTGACTTGAGCAGGGGCTTGGCATGGCCACTGCTGCCAGGGAGTCAGTGCAGTGGAGCCATGAGCAGCACCTCCTCACTCATCCACCCATCTGTCCATCCATCTGTTCACCCTTCCACCTCCATGCCCCTCCCTAAGGCTGTGCTCCTCATCTGAACCTGTGGAGGCTTGCCTGAACCAAGCCTAGATGACTCAGGGTATATGCTCCCCTCTTAGCCCTGGCACTGCCAGTTACCTAGGGTGGGTAGTAGGCTCCATCCCAATGAAGCTGAGGGAGCTGCATGCTTCCTCCTGCACAGGCTCTGCCCTGTCCCCAACACTGCTCCATCTGCCTGGCTGGCAATGCCATATCCTACAGTGGGCTCTTGCCTAGCAGGGGTAAATACTGAAACCCAGTGTTGTACCTGCCCACACCACCTTTCATGGGAAGCAACCTAACCTACAGCCCTCTTTGAATGGGTGGTGAGGCACATGCTCTGAGTCCAGATACTGCTATAAGATCAAGGGTACCCTTGGCCTGAGAAAGGTCCAATCAGGGGCGAGCTGGCTACCAGCAACCCCTGAAGCTTGGCCTGATAAGACAAGCAAGACCAATTGGATTCTTCTTCTGAGGATTTGGTCTTGGGAAACTGAATGCCGAGAGCTAGAAGCAGGGACAAAGGAGAGAGGACACAGTGAGGAGGAGTCAGGCCTAAGAGGCCTGGAGGGGCTGGGGGGCACATCATAGGCATGAGTAGGAAGCATTGATGAGGGATCACAGCCTGGAATAAGCTAGGAAAGGGCCACAGAAAGTGTGCAAGAGCAAGGACCCACCACAGGGGAGCAAGAGCTCTGGGGAAGCGAGGCTGTAGCCTGGCCCTGTGCCAGCTCTGTTCATAGATCTGTGAGAGCTCCTTATTGCACCGTATTAATCCTTGTGATAAAGCCTGTCTTTGCTTGTGCTGCCTGGAGTGGGCCTCTAAGCTTTGTCACCATACGCTTGGACAGAGTCTCCACAGGTCTGAGTGTCCCCTAGTTCCTGCTCATGCTCCACTCCTTGTACTGCTGCTGCTTGTCTGGCTAGTCCCTCTGTGAGGGCTGGCCTCCCAGCCATCCCAGGCTGTAGGACCCTTCCCATGGGGAAGGTAGTACCCCACCTGGGCATTCTGTGTGGCCCACCTGCTCATAGTTAAATGGGTTTACTCATCAGCCAGCTCCTGGATCCCTGCCTCTACCTCTTCATCCTGCCAAGATACACACCCTCAGGAGGTTTGTACCAGCCTTGTGTGCTTTTGAAATCATCCTGTTGATCTAGAAATCCTGACTGCTGCCCCTAAGTGCCTGAGGAGATGAGCTGATGAGGGAAAAAAGGCATTGAAAAGATATTGTGGGTCCAGCTAGGTTAGAGTTTAGGGTAAGGGGGCAGCCCCACACTTCAGGAGATCTGACCTGGAAAGGCTCCCAGCCAAGGAATGATTGAATGGACCAAGGCAGTTCTTTGGAGAAGAGACTGATGGGGTGGTCAGCATACCCATCTTTTGCACACTTCACCCAGAACTGCTCATCCCCAGGTCACCCAGTGAGCACTGCAGGGGCCGCCTGCCCTTGCTCACCCTCAGAGATCTGTGCCTTCTTTCCTGAAGCCTGACTCAAAGGCCATGCTGGAGTCTCACCTCGGCACCAGGCTCCCTCCTCCAGTAGGCCACAAGGAACTCAAACTGGGGCCCCAGGTCCTCCAGTTCAATAACCAGGTGGAAGCCATCTTTGGTGATCTCCATCCCAGGTGGGGTAAGGATGGCTGTTGGCAAGACAACAGGAGAGTCAAAGCCAGCCCCAGACAGGGCTGATTTCCCTGGAACACAATGACCGTGACATCTATGGAAATATACCAGTCTCTGTAGGGAAGGGAGGGAGTCAGCTGTAGCTTCAAGCTCATGGAAACATGTACACAAATACGCTCCTGTATGCAGCAGGTGCTCAGGTGCTGTATGCTCAGGTGCTTTTTGAGTGATGAATGAATGAAAAAACAAATGACAAATACTATAATTCTCTTCTTTTTTAATCCTTTAACAAAGTCCACTGTTCCTTCTCCAGGAGGCACATATACACAAGAAAAGTGATTAAAAACTCCAGTAAACATTATCTCTTGCTCTTTAAAAATTTTATGATCCATGCCCCTCCTGTCACCACTTTTTCAGCAGAAATTGCTCCTCATTTTGGCTCATCTAAGTGAGCAGATGCTATATTTTAATGCTTGCCAAATGCCTATGTCAGCTCAGGTCTATACTGAACAGCCAGGCCCGGTCTTTGCCCCCTAGGAATGAGCATAGCTGGCAGGGCCGTGTGCATTCCTACAACTCACATAGATCTGTGGCATGTACTGGCTACTGATAACTTCCCCATATCAGCAGATGAGCAGCCCATGAATACAGCTGGCCATACTATTCTCAGCCCAATTCTATTTTTCATCTCATATCCTGAGTAAGGGATGCTGGCAAGTTACCAGCTTTTTTTTTTTTTCTTTTCAGACAGGGTCTCACTGTCACCCAGGCTGGAGTGTGCAGTGGCACTAGAATGGTTCACTGTAGCCTCGAACTCTCAGGCTCGGGTAATCCTCCCACCTTAGCCTCCCATGTAGCTGGAACTACAGGCACACATCACCACACTCAGCTAATTTTGTTTGTATTTTTTGTAGAGATGGGGTTTCACCACATTGCCCAGACTGGTCTCTAATTCCTGGGCTCAAGCAGTTTGCCCACCTCGAGCTCCCAAAGTGCTGGGATTACAGGAGTGAGCCAATGCGCCTGGCCCACAGGCTTTTTACAGATTCCAATAATCAACTCTAGAAATTACAGCATAAGCACAAACATTATCTTTCATATTGCAAGGTCCCCAGCAGAGAGGCCCACAGCCTGTGTGAATTCCTTACCATCAGCAGACCAAGAGCAGAAGGGCCCACACAGATAGTCTCTACACCCTGGTTACTGGTGATGGAGTTATACCCGCCTCTCAGACCCAGAGACTGCAGGACCAGAAGGGCCACCCTAATCACTGGTCTTGGATTGGAAAGTGGGCTGGGGCATGCTGTGGGCTAAATCTGCCTTCCCTGGGGTCAGCAGACACTCAGAAGAAAGGCAGTGCCTTTCCCCCTCGCCTCCCTCATCAGAGAAGTGTATATGCTTGGCTGTTGGAAAGCTACCTGGATAGGGGTCCAGAGGACTTGGGAAGTCAGGGCTGACTGTGCAAAACACACTCAGTGCTGAGATTCATATGACCACACAGCACCACTAGCACTACCTCTGAAACACCTCCAGAAGGGAAACAGATATTTCACTCCTCGACTTTTCTGTCAGATATGATTAGAATTGGGTCTTCTGATCTCCATCTCTATTGAGACCAGAATTAGAGAAAATAATCTGAAGTTTCAGTTCAGAGGAGAGTTGTTCCACAGCGTTAGGGCAGGAACCTCTGTCCTATGCCTTCTGCATGCTTATCTCATTTAATCGGCCCAGGAAGCTTTAGAAGGCAAACATTGTTCCTGTTTTTTTATGGAGGGGGCGGGTGGGGGCGGTTTTTTGAGACAGAGTCTCGCTCTGTCACCCAGGCTGGAGCGCAGTGATGTGATCTTGGCTCACTGCAAGCTCCGCCTCCCAGGTTCATGCCATTCTCCTGCCTCAGCCTCCCAAGTAGCTGGGACTACAGGCGATGGGGTTTCCCTGTGTTAGCCAGGATGGTCTCGATCTCCTGACCTCGTGATCCACCCACTTCGGCCTCCCAAAGTGCCGCGCCCGAAGTGAACCACCGCGCCCAGCCTAACATTGTTCCTGTTTTACAGAGAGATGAAGTGACATGCCCAGAGTCACAGAGTTAATCTACAGAATGTGAGCCCATTTCTTTCTACATTTCTACCTCCCTTGTGTGGGGTGTTTAGTCTCTTTACTAGTGGATCTCAACCCTGGCTGTACATGAAAATAATCTGGGAAGAATCTTAAACTCCCAGTGAACAAGATGCATGCAGATCATTTAAACCAGACTCTCTGTGGAAGGGCCCCAGGCATAAGTGATTCCAAAGCTCCCCTGTGACTCGAATGTGCAAAGTTAAAAACCTCTGCTCTCGGGCCGGGCGCAGTGACTCACGCCTGTAATCCCAGCACTTTGGGAGGCTGAGGCGGGCGGGTCATGAGGTCAGGAGATGGAGACCATCCTGGCTAACACGGTGAAACCCCGTCTCTACTAAAAATACAAAAAATTAGCTGGGACAGGTGGTGAGCACCTGTTGTCCCAGCTACTCGGGAGGCCGAGGCAGGAGAATGGCGTGAACCCAGGAGGCGGAGCTTGCAGTGAGCCAAGATCACACCACTGCACTCCAGCCTGGGCGACAGAGTGAGACTCCGTCTCAAAAAAAAAAAAAAAAAAAAAAAAACCCCTTTCTCTCAGTAAAGCTTCCCTTTAAGAATGTGGACCCTCAGCTAGGTGTAGCGGCTCATGCCTGTAATCCCACTGTAATCCCAGCACTTTGGGAGGCTGAGGTGGGCGGATCACCTGAGGTCAGGAGTTGGAGACCAGCCTGGCCAACATGGTGAAACTCTGTCTCTACTAAAAATACAAAATTAGCCAAGCATGGTGGCACATTCCTGTAATCCCAGCTACTTGGGAGGCTGAGGCAGGACAAACGCTAGAACCCAGGAGGCGGAGGTTGCAGTGAGCTAAGATCGTGCCATTACACTCCAGCCTGGGCAACAAGAGCAAAACTCCGCTTCGAAAAAAAAAAAGAGAGAGAGAGAGTAGCGATCCTTTTCAGGAGAGCCTTAAATCAAGATTTTTCATATTTCTGCGGAGAGGTCTGAGTGGCCTTTTTCAAATGGAAGAGGACAAACTTAATACCTTTAAGAGATCATGATGCCACCCCAGTTCCTTCGCTTGGATCACAGAGGGATCTCATAGAACCGTTATCTTCCGTCTTCTGATGCAAGTACAGACTCCTGTACCTCAGCTCCCCCTGCAGCAAGCTCTTTTCCTGTTTATACTGGCCTCCTTAAGTACAAGGTGTTACAGCACATCCCCACCCACATAGTTTTGCAGGCACTCCCTTATCTTTATGTGACCCATGCCTGCTTTCCAACAACAGCTGCCAGCCCCCAGCAATGGTCTTGGCTGGATCCCCATGCTCTTAGGAGCCAGAGGGAGATGGTGCTGGGTGCTGCCTGGGCACTGCAGGTAGTGGCAGTTTTGCAGTGCCCTCCAGGGCCCATTAATCTCCCCCAGATCCTGCCACTTCGACCAACTCCTCCTGGAACAAATTCAGCCAGATGATCATCCTCTCCATTCTATGAAGTCACTCCATTCCATTCCATTTCAGTCCTGGTGCCTGGGAAGGAGGCCTGGGCAAAGGAGCCCATGATCTGCACCAAAATTCCTTTTGTTATCCCATTCCAATGGTCCTATTCCTGCCCCATCCCTTCCCTCCTCTGCTCTTCAGCTTGGGCTCCCCTTCTTCTAAACCTTCCTAATTTCCATCTAATATCATACACTCCTCAGTAACCTTTGACTCAGCCAAATGCTGCAAATTCTGCCCCAAACCTTCCTCCACCATCACTCACAACAGAAGTTCTTCTGCCACATCACAAAAACAGAGGCCGAGGAAGACCCTTATTTTGCCTTTCCTGCAGCTCTAAACTGGTTACATTCCCACCCATTCCTTGCCCCTTCCTACCTCCATGCAGTCCTCCACCCCAGCAGCCAGATGGTCATCCTCTCTACTCCATGAAGTTACTTTCTCAAGGGCCCATCCAGGGGCTTCCTTCAGCCTCTCAGGAGCTGTTCTATTCTCCCTACCATGATTCTCTACCCTGGTGCCCTTCCTTCCACCCACATTTTAAAGTATGAGGTTTTCCAGGACCTTGTCCTCTCTCCGTCTTCAATATCTTGTCCCTAGACAGTCTCATCTACTTCCAAACCTTTAGGTGTTAACTTTGTGACGGCCCCTTGTGATGGTTCATTCCTATAATCCCAGCACTTCGTGAGCCTGAGGCAAGAGGATCACTTGAGCTCAGGAGTCTGAGGCCAGCCTGGGCAGCATGGTGAAACCCCATCTCTACCAAAAATACAAGAAAAAAATTAGGTGTGGTGGCGTGTGCCTGTAGTCCCAGCTTCTTGGGGGCCTGAGGCAGGATGATCACTTGGGCCCAGGAGGTCAAGGCTGCAGTGAGCTGTGTTGGCGCCACTGCACTCCAGCCTGGGCAACAGAGCAAGACCCCACCTCAAAAACAAAATAAAACAAACAAACGAACAAAACCACTTTGTGTTATGTATCTGGCTTTAAGCTTTCTGAGCCTCAGAGATTGATTTCCGGCTGCCAATCAGACATCCATGACATGACATCTTGCAGAAATCTCAGTCTCAAAACCTGGGGTGTCTCCTATTCTTCAAGACCAGCAGCCTTAGTTGGTATTCTCACCAACTCCAGCCGGCAGCTGGACACCATCATTCTCTCTCCCTTCTCCATCCCCACAAACTTGGTCCCTAAGCTCTGTCCTTTCTAAATCAGTCATGTTTCTTGGATTCATCATCTCCTTCCCATCCCCTTCCAAACTCTTGGGATCAGTAGGAGTATTACAACCCCCTCCTTGCTCTTCCCCTGCCCTGCAGGATTGCTCTACTCTGGTTCAGTTTCCATACAGCAGTCAGAGTGGTTGTTTTGTAAGATAGACCTGGTCGGCCAGGCGCGGTGGCTCATACCTGTAATCCCAGCACTTTGGGAGGCCGAAGCAGGCAGAAGACTTGAGGTCAGGAGTTCAAGAACAGCCTGGCCAAAATGGTGTTGCATGCCTGTAGTCCCAGCTGCTTGGGAGGCTGAGGCAGGAGAATCACTTGAACCCAGGAGGTGGAGGTTGCAGTGAACCGAGATTGCGCCACTGCACTCCAGCCTGGGCGACAGAGTGAGACTCCATATCAAAAAAAAAAAAAAAAAAAAAAAAAAGTTATACCTGGTCTAGATCCTCTCATCCTTCATGGCTCCTCTCTACTGACTTGGTCAAGCTTCATGTCAGAGCCCTTCACCACATGATCAGCTGCTTCCTTACCCCCTGCCCATCAGCCCTTGCCTCCTCTGTTCCCCAAACACCCACGTCCTTTTACACAATGGCCAGTGCTTGTACTCAGCCATATTTGGCCACCTATCTGGATTCCTCTATTACTTCTTTCTCAATCCTTTTCCAGGTACCACTCCAAAAGAAAAGCTATTTATTTCCCACAGAAGTCATTATAGACGGGCAATTTTCCGGTGGCTCTGTTAAATATATAAATCCTCTTGCACAACAAAGCTGATTACATGGGCAGTAAATATGTAGTTAATGAGGCATCAAGTGGGAGGCAGTGTAAGATTTATGGAGGCACAATCAGGGTAGGGAGCAGCAATCCTGGTGCCATCTCTTCACTTCCAGAGCAGCTTTCCTTCCAGGTTCCCAGTGTCAGCATCCCCAACACCTGCACTCCCTGACACAGACAATCAGGAATGACTTGTAAAGTTAAAGGGCATGAGAGAGAGCAGCATGTAGAAAGCAGCTGGCAATTTTTCAAATGTACCAGTAAGGGTTGTTTGTGTTCACAATACCCTGGCTTTGCAGGACTATTTTGATGTTTAAAAAAAGTCTAGAAAGTCTAGGTGAACATGGTTCCCAAAGGAGTGGCTGGTGGGGGTGGGAGTGTAAGGAGAGAAGGGCCTTACTTGAGTTTCTATTAAAGGGATGCTTCAGGATGCTCCAGGCTGAGGTCTGTGAGCCCACTGTGGCCCTGACACGAAGGTTGTATGGCACAGTGGCCGTGATGTCATCAGTGACATCACACTCAGGACCTTCAGTGAGTGAGCACCAGCTGCTGGGGATCCAGATGTGGCTCGTGTACAGGCTCTCATACTCCCTGTCAAAGAGAGGAGGGCACAGAGTTACACCAGCCCCTCTGACACAGGCTCTGTTATGGTTGCAAGTAACTGCCTTCATTCTCCTACTTTGTACAGGTAAGTAAAGTAAGTACTTGCTCATTATCCCAGCTCCTCCACTCTCCTCCCTACCAACCATCTGTTCTCCCTTACTCCTTTTATCGCCAGATGGGGAAAGCTAGGCATAAACATCAATGTATCTGTATCTCTTACCTCTTCATCTCCAGGGTCATCACCCTAATCTCAGCCACTGTCATTCCTTGCCTTGCTGTGGTCTCCCAGCTTGCACACCTGCCATTCTCGAAACCATTCACCACTCAGCAGATCATGGCATTTCTCTCCTTACTGGCTTCCTACAGGACTTAGAATGGGATCCAAACTCTTGCCAGTGGCCTACAAGATGCTTTGGCCTTCTCTCTCACTCAGCTCCTAAGCATGATATTCTTGCCACACTGGTCATTTCTCCGAAATGTTGAGAACTTTTTGCCTTAGGACTGTTGACTAGCTGTTCACTCCATCTCAAACGCTCTGCCCCTGCTGTTCGCATGGCCAGCTCCTCTTGTCCTTCAGACATGGCATAAATATCACCTCCTCAGAGAGGCCATCCCAGGCCATCTAATATAAAGGAGAGTCAGTGTCAACTCTCTATGGCATCAGCCTTTTAGCTTCCTCCTAGCACTGATTACTGTCCAAAATTCCCTAGAGCAGTGCTTTCCAAAAATAAACTTTCTGTGATGATGCAAATATTCTAAATCGATGTTGTTCAATATGGTAGCCACTGGCCGCATGTGGCTATTAAACACCTAAAATGTGACCAGTGTGGCAGGAAACAGACATTTTAATTTAATTTAATTTAATTTAAATAACCAGCTGTGGCTGGTGGCTACCATACTAGGGAATGCTGGCCTAATATATTTACCATCTGTATCCTCCTCTAGATGTAAGCTCTCAAAATCCAGAAACCTTGTCAACTGTATCCCTGAGCCTAGAAGAATATCTACATATGTAGGTGCTTAGCCTGTACTCATTGTTAATGAAATACATGGAGCAATTTCTGTGTCCTTATCAATCTTCAATAGCTGCAAGTACCTGGTCACCTGGAGAAGACTAGAGCCTGCTTGGCCCCAGGGCCAGCTGACCTTTAGGGTTATAGTTTGTTTTGGCTCTAGGTATAAACTTACAGTCAGGAAAAGTGAGGACTCCTCCACCCTTAAAGGACCTGAGTCTCCAATGATTTATCCATCTCAAGTCAGAGTCAAACCCGTTGAACAGTTGATTCACTTTTTAAAAGAACTCCACCAAAAGGTGTTAGGCACATTCGTCTTCCCAGAGAGTTCACTGTCAAATCCACAGAACAATTTCCCTTGCTTCTTCAACTCTTTCAATGCCTATGCAGACAGAGGGGGTAGATCATTGGGGATAATCTATCCCTGGACTCAAAAAGCCACCTTGGGCTCAGGAGGAAGGGCTATGCCTTCAGGAACCAATTTCTGCCTAAGGGAGAAGAACTATTAAAAGTAAGAAAAAAAAAAAAAAAACTCACCCCTGGTATTCGACAGAATAGTACACTGTTTCTCCAGGCACGGTCACTGGGCTCCACATCAAGAGATGCTTCATGTTGGTTGAGAGCACAGAGAGGTTCTGAGGGGCAGGCAGAATGGCCACTTCATCTAGGATCAAGGCAGATAGCCAGGCTGACAGGTGGGCTCATAGTGGGAGAATGCCACAGCTTCAAATTAATGTCTAACGAAGGGCCTCACCGGTGGAGGTTGCAGTGAGCCAAGATTGTGCCACTGCACTCCAGACTGGACGACAGAATGAGACTCTGTCTCCAGAAAAAAAAAAAAAGGCCTCACATGTTTATAAACCAGAAACAACTCTAATTTTATCATACTTACGTTAATGCTAAATTTTTGGTACCATCATTGTAATTCTGACTTTGTTGATAAATGACATATCAATATTAATAATGACTAATATTTATCTAATACTTACCATGTTCTATCTAGGCCATGTGCTGGATTTTTACATGATTGTCTCATTGAATTCTCATGACCATACTGGGAGGTAAAGACCATTAGTTTTTCCATTGTACAAATGAGAAAACTGAGTCACATTATTTATGACTCTTCTGTTAGACTGACCAGGATCCAGCGACTCTGCCACTTACTATGTGGCTTTAAGCAAGTTGCATAAACATGAGCTTCTTAATCATTCATGGAAAACCCATGCAGATTACCACAATATTCTCATCACCTCCCTCTCCTGCCACTGCCATCCTCAGATGCCAAAGCACATCCTTTCATGTCCCTCAGCAAGGCCAAATGGGGCATCAGCTGCCAGGTGGGAAGTACAGGCTCAGATCTGCTGTGGAGAGAGTCCATTCAAATGGGACACAAAGCCAGCTCTGCAACTCCACCCCAGAAAGACTGCAGGCCTCTGAGTTAGTCTTGGACACCAGTATACCCAGAGTGTGCCCAGACACAGTGTGCCCAGAGTATGCACACAGTGGGACTATGATTTGTAGAGAATGAAAGAGCTCTATGAAGGTGGACCTGCTCATAAGGACTTTGGGCAGTCACAAAGCCAAAAACTTCATCCTCACATGTCACCCCAAGGTACAGTCTGAACTCTCTGCTGTGTTCCTCTTTAAATGCCCAACACCTGCCTCCCTTTGCTGTTATAGTACAGTGATAACATCTACAGCATAGTAAGGGTGGGGCTGGAGTCCTCATTCAGGACTTTTCATCTCTGTGCCTATCTCCAGATTGGTACCTGCTGTTCGTTATCAAGCCCTGTGACCACAAAGGGATGGAAGGCTGCTGGGGACACCCCACCTGGTTTCCCTGTTCCTTCGCTAATGTAGGGCCCTAGTGATGCACCTCCACCTCACCCTCAGCATCCATGGTCTGTTCTGTGGGGAAACACCAGGAGCACCCACAAGGCAGGCTTCCTGACCCCACGCACCCTCAAGCTTGAAATCACCCAAGGGATGGAAAGGAAAAGGGGTGGAGTGGTACAGGAGGACAGGGAATGGTCCCCTCTGACACCTTCCTCTGGTAAATAAAAAAAAAAATTCTCTAGCCAGCTATTTGGGGAATATAAAGCCATATAAATATAAAGCAACGTTTTATAAAACTAGTTAATGTAATTACATAATTAAATTATGTCAACAAATCCATTTATTAATTAACATAATTTAATTATATAACTTAAAGCTCTCAGAAATGTAATCTCCAGGCACATATGGTTTTAATGGAAAATGCTACCAAACATTTAAAGAAGACAACATCAACAAAATGCAATTTCCTCTAAAACAGAATAGGAAAGAACAGTTTCCAGCTTACTTTATGAGGCCAGTATTACTGTGATACCAAAATCAGACAAGGAAAATATATACATAAACTACATAAAAATATATCTCATAAACTTAGACAAAAATCTTCAACAAAATATTAGCAATCCAAATTCAATAATGTACAAAAAGAACTGTATACTATGACCACGTGGGATTTGTTCTAGGTATGCAAGGCTGGTTCAACATTTGAAAATCAGTTAATGTAATTTACCATGTCAATAAAGAAAAGAATAAAATCATAAATCATATCAATTGACACAGAAAAAGGATTTACAAAACCCACATCCATTCATTACGAAAAATAGGACAAAACAGGCCTAGTGCGGTGGCTCACGCCTGTAATCCCAGCACTTTGGGAGGCCGAGGCAGGCAGATCACCTGAGGTCAGGAGTTCGAGATCAGCCTGACCAACATGGTGAAACCCAGTCTCTACTAAAAATAGAAAAATTAGCTGGGTGTGGTGACACACGCCTGTAATCCCAGCTACTTGGGAGGCTGAGTCAGGAGACTTGCTTGAACCTGGGAGATGGAGGTTGCAGTGAGCCGAGATCATACCATTGCACTCCAGCCTGGGCAACAAAGCAAGACTCCATCTCAAAAAAAAAAAAAAAAAGAAAAACCAAGACAGAACCAAAAACTCTCTTCAAGTTAAGAGCAGCAGGGAGTTACCACAACTTGATAAAGACCATCTACAAAAAACCTACAGCTAACATCTCACTTAATGGTGAAGGACTGAATGCTTCCCCTCTAAGATCAGGCACAGGCAAAAATGTACACTCTTATCACTCCTATTCAACATACTACTGAAAATTCTAGCCACTGTAATAAGGCAAGCAAAAGAAGTAAAAGAAATACAGATTATAAAGGAAGTAGTAAAACTTGCCCTATATGCAAATGACATGACATGCTATGTAGAAAAATCCCACAGAATCTTAAAAAAAAATCTAAAACTAGGCCAGGCACGGTGGCTCACGCCTGTAATCCTAGCACTCTGGGAGGCCAAGGCAAGCGGATCACCTGAGCTCAGGAGTTTGAGACCAGCCTGAACAACATGGCAAAACCCCATCTCTACTAAAAAGACAAAATTTAGCTGGGCGTGGTGGTGCGTGCCTGTAATCTCGGCTATTCATGAGGCTGGGGCAGAAGAATCGCTTGAACCCAGGAGGTGGAGGTTGCAGAGAGTTGAGATTGCACCACTGCACTCCAGCCTGGGCAACAAAGCAAGACTCCATCTCAACAACAAAATTATATTTCTATATACCAGCAACAAACACATATACAGACATTAAAAATTATAATCACTGAAAAAAATAGGTGTAAATCTAGCAAAATATATTCAGGGTTTGTATAGAGAAAACTCCACAATGCTAAATAAAGTCAAAGAAGATTTAAATAAATGGAGAGACATACTGTGTTCATGCATTAGAAGATTCAACAGTTAAGATGCCAGTTCTCCCCCAAATTGATATATAGGTTTAATGCAATTCCTATCGATAGTCCAGCAAGTTTTTTGTTAACATAGATAAGATTTTCCTAAATTTTATAAGAAAAGTCAAAGGAACTAGAATACCTAAAAGGAGGGGGAGGGGCTTCAAGATAGCTGACCAGAAGCATTTCATGCTTACCTCCTCCACTTAGAAGAACCGAAATCATGTATATACAGTCACACTTTGAATACATTATCCAAAAGAGAACGCTGGAACTCAACAGAAAAGTTACAGGAAACACCAAAAGCAAGGAAGGAGGAGGAGAGGCAGACTGCTTGGCTAGGATCAGCTGGCAGCCAAGAGTGACTTCTCAATGTGGGGAAAGAGTAAGTGAGAGACTTCCGGTGGCCCTCATTCCCACCATGGAATCATGCAATCCTGGCCGCGAGAGAGTTCCTCAACCCTCCTAAGTCCTGAAAACATACATAGGGAGCTGCCAGGAGAATGGGGGACAAAATTGTCCCAAGAAGGGAACTCATGCTGGGTCCCATACTTCTTCTGAGACCCAAACAGTTACAGCAAGGCACCATTTTAAATCCTAGTCTTTGGCAGGTGCACATGCTATCCTGGTGGCCAGCAGTACCATTAGAGAAACTCAAGCTATTGCTGCTGAGACTAGGGCACAAACTGGGAATGAACTCCCACAGCCGAGACTGAGAATCAAGTGAGGCATGGGCTGCAGCTCTCAATGCTGGGAAGTGAGTGCTGCCAGGACTGAGACTGGGATGAAAACAGGCACAAGTTGCCACTGGGGCTTAGTCACAAGCTGGTTGGGGGCTCCTGCAGCAAGGTAAGGGCTCAAGCTAGGTGTGGCCGGCTGCTGCCAGGGCTGGGGGGTAAGCCCCGCCAGGGCCAAAGCATGAGACAGGTACGTATTCCCCACCTACTGGCCCAGGCTGTAGCCACAGAGGTCAGCCCCACCCTCTCCAGTGGGAGGACCTCAGCATGACTACTACCACTCCTCACCCATGCATTCCACCTGAGACCTGAGGATTGCCCTGACCCCTACCCACCATGACTGGTGCCTGCTCCCACTTTGAAGGGCCTGAGCACAAGCCCACCCAACCCAGCTTCACCCCCTTCTCTGAGACACAGCACATAGCCCGCGGCCTTGGAGGGTGACAAGGGCACCTTGGGCACCTGAGTACTCCTTCTGGGGTCCTGAGGTTGGGTCTAAACTCTCAGCTGCCACCACGTCAGCTGGCAAGTACCACCTGCAGTCCTGGAGACTGTCCTACACAGCCCATCACACCCACTGCTATAATAAAAGGACAACTCTTAGAACTCAGATAATTATCCTGCCACTGCTACTGCCATCACTTGTGCCATGCTAGCTGTCCAGGGCCCCAAGAACCCTCTTGCCTGCCCTGTCCACCACTACCACTGCCAGCATCCAAGCAAGTCATGTGGAGGCCCAAGAATCAACGTGCTGGTAACCACCAACACCAGTGCCAGCATACCCAACCCTGGGACACAAGGATAGGCATACTCAGACCACCAGTGCCAAAATTGGGGCCTGTAGACTGGCCCACCTGGCATCCCACAGCACAACTTCACCATAGACTCTAATAACTGTACCCTAACCCACTGATGAAATCACAGATACTACTAACACTGCAGCCAAAGTACCCAGAATAAAAGCAAAAATGTGCTAGGCACAGCGGCTCACACCTGTAATTCCAGCATTTTGGGAGGCAGAGGTGGGCGGATCACGAGGTCAAGAGATCAAGACCATCCTGGCTAACGTGGTGAAACCCCGTCTCTACTAAAAATACAAAAATTAGCTGGGCATGGTGGCGTGTGCCTGTAGTCCCAGCCACTCGGG